TTAAAGGTACAGTGTGTAGAATTTTCTGATATCTAGTGTTGAAGTTGCATGTTGCAGCTGAACACCCCTCACCTCACCCTCTCCTTCCAAACATGAAAAAGAAACCGTGGCAGCCTTTAATTGCCATAAAAACTCAAACGGTGTTTAGTTTGTCCAGTCTGGACTAATGTAAAAAACATGGCGGCCTCCGTAGAGAGGGTCCCCTCGATGTAAATATAAAGTGTTTGAATATAAAGGGCCCATTCTGGAGTAAAGAAAACTACAATTCATACAATTTAGATGAAATGAACTAGTGAGGATTATTCTACATTAAATTTCTGCCAATAGATCCCTTTACCTGAATCTTACACACTGGACCTTTAAAGACATGTTCTCCCATTAATTAGTGGATGCTGATTCTAATTTTGATTTTTTTTTTTTAAAAAGGCAATATTCCTTTCCTTTCATATAATCTCTGTTCATATGTCCTTTTTTCACAGAAAGCTAGTGGAGCTTCCAGACTTCTAAATGTCTGCCAACATCTCCAGTTTGTGCAGCAATGCAAGATTGAATGAAAATGAAGGGTATATATAATAATCTGTAATCTGCTGTTCTATAGATGAGAATGTGATATCTTGCTTTTGTAGCTGGTCCTGTAATCTACCAGTTGGTGGCAACAGTGAGTCAGAGGGAACGTAACAAGTTTGCAAATGCAAGTCATTATCATCTTCCTGCCAAACTGGTTCATCATAAATATATCATAATCTAAGTATATAAGAACAGCATCATATAATTGATGCACATGAAGTGTCACATTATCTGTCACCTTAGTTGCAGTCTAAACTTGGTGCTTCTCAGCCGACCACATCACACGCTAAGGCATTTACTCCCCAGGGTCACCTAACACCACTAAGCCCTGAACTCCATGAGTCTTTTACCTTGCATTATTTTTGTCTGCCCCTCATGCCTCGTGCTACTTGCAGGTCTTTACCAGCTCAATGACGCGCCTGTCAGTGTGGCACCACATACAGTGGGATGTAGAGCGAGAGTGAGTCAAGCTAATGATCTGTGCGAGAGTGGAAATCATTTGCAGAATTTTGCAGAAAATATGGACCTCTTGGGGCATTGGGCTCACCATCTTTGTGGATGAGTGCAACATCCCATAATCAATAGTCAATGCCTATTAAAACTTATTGTAACCTATTGTTTTGGTAGGAAATTTTATTACGAAAGTATTGAACAGTTTATCTTTGCTTTTACCTTAAGTGCCCTGTACAGGCCTTCATTACAAGAGCTTTGTGTACCAGCCAACAAAAGCTACCGTGCCCTCACTGTCCAACTGTAGTCTTACGCCACACACACATGCGTTCACACAGCGCATGTGTGATACACATGGACTGACGCGAATAGATCTCTGTGCCGGGCATAAGTGAAATGTTTGGCAAGCACGTAGGCCACAGGATCGGATCTGTTGAGTCGGTATGAGAATCAACTGATTAGCACAGGGCCAAAGTAGTTTGCCTTTATACTAATTAGCTTCTGAGGTTTTTTTTTCTGTTAGTGGACTAACCCATCCTTACTCCCTCTCCCTGGTGGACACAAGTTCACATGCATTCCAAACATCAAATATAATTACAGATGGAATGTGTAGAGTGGACAGACAGAGAAGCAATAACTTTAAGTGCTTCTTAATGACCATTAATGCAATCTTCTCCCAAAACCATCTGCACTGATTTACTCATTGTTTCTAATAACAGTGACAGCAGATTAAACATATTCAAAGAGGTATTTTTATTGCATGCTTGCCAAGTGTCAAATAGATGTGGCAGCAGTTAGAGTAGAACTAATTGCCTTAGACCTGGCTATATTTAGATGTACAGTAATCAGCAAGAAAGGTCTGAGCTACAGAATGGTGGTGGGACAGATGGGAACTCATTAGATCAGCCTTAGGGGCTTTGTGCGTTGCCTGGACCCAATTAGCAAAGCAAGTCTCAGCAACTTAAATCAGCTTATAACTATAGGGACCACAGGCCTGCAGCCTAGTGTCTCAGACCATCGTCAATACTTAGGTCTGCTGCAGTAGAAGGTATTATTTTCTCTTGTCATTAATGCTCAAGTTTCTTTACCTTGTTGATGAACAGTGCAATTTATCTTCTTTTATTCATTTATTTTGTTTGTATAGAGATATATAACAGGGACAAGACAATTACACTTACATGTCCAACAATAATGTGCAATTACATGCACGATTCCAAAATTAACATAAAAATGAGCCATTCATCAATACTAAAGTAATTTGCTTTATGTTATTTCCAATTCATCATCGTCATAATAATAAGTGTTCTGGACAAAATCTAATGCAAAGATGTTATGTAGTAGTAGTATATTATGTAGTCTTCTTCAGATCAAAGGGATAGTTCACAGCCAATACAACTGAAGAAAATGGCTGCTTGGATTTTATCCCCCTTGTGCCTAATTGCACATATAAATATTCACATAACCAGGAGCATGACGCCAGTGAAGAGTCAGCACCTTTTCTTTTCTTTTTCCTGATGGGAGTGTATGAAAATAGACTGATAGTAATGCTTTAAATTAAATTAAAGTGTCAACTCTGTTAACAGGCCTGGTTGACTTGGCCAAAGGGTGAGAGAGAGAACTGCATTTATTTGGATGTTGTCTTGGGGCCAGTGCGACCTCAGCTTCGCAGGACAGTGAGAGTGGCTGCTGTCGAGCTAATCCTCTTTGCACTCCTCACTCCTGCCGCTGTGCTTCAACGCAATTGTTGACTTCATTTCAAAACAGTCAGGTGGTGAACCACAACTCTGCCACACAACGACACTCAACACATATCTTGGCTGGACTGTCATCTCACTCTACTAGGTTGGATTCTTTATAACAGTGGGGACTATACTTGCATTTTCTCATTTATGGATTACGCCTTAATTTTCAGATTGGTGCACGATTCCTGTGTGATGGAATCAGGAAAAGTGGATTATTACAAACTGGCTGAATTTATCCCAGGACCAAAGCTGGACAGGGGCAGTGGATGTACAATATGGAAAAAAATACAGGTCAGTTTTCTATTTTTTTTTTACCCAGGTTAGGTGTCAACTATAGCAAACAGAGGGCCTTAATTCAAAAAGTGCACTGATTAATAATAATGATAATAATGACTTGAATTTATCTAGCACCTTTCACGGGACCCAAGGACGCTTTACATATGTTTGTGAGGACAAGACAGAAGAGAAAAGAAAAATATAATAATAGAAAATACACGAGATAAATCTGTAGTTCAATTTTGAGTGTTGTATTGGCAGCATGCCTGGTACAGCTGATTAACAAGTGATCTTTCCAAAGCAGAGAAACTCTAACACTTGAATAGTCAATAGAGATGTACACTGTGACAGCCTTAATTAAAACTGCAGCTCTTTCATTGATTTTCATCATATCAGCATGGATACATGATGTTGTTGAGAATCTGACTGGTGACAGTTGCCTGTGAGAGGGTGGGACGGCATCATGAACAGAGCCAGAAGGTCCCGGAGGAGTTTAACTCTGGGAATTAAACAGCTCAGGTCTAAATCTGGCCACCAGTTAATTTGTTGGAAAGCTGCCTTTCTTCTGGCACACACTGTGTCAACACGTGGAGCCCATCAGGTGGCCTTCTCCAACATGTTCTGTCTGCATAAAGATTTAAAACATAGAAGATGCAAAAGATGGAAACAGCATTTATTTGGACACACTCATAAAATCACAGAGATTCTCCTTATTCCAGTTTAAATTCAGAAGTTGTTGCTGTTACTATGTGTGGAAATTGTAATGAAGACATAAGAGAGTGAGTAAACTGTGGCCTCAAGGAAATCAAACGTAAAGAAAGTGTTTCCATTGAAAATATTTAAATTCTTAGCTGCTGACAGTGTTTACTGAGCATTTTTATCAGAGCTGTACCAAACGAACAAATTCCAATCACAATGTCAAAGAATTAAAGATTTAGTGTTGGGTGGCTTTGGCTTAGGTGGGCGTACTTTATACTGATGATGACTCATGTTCAGATGATGTAATGTTTAAATCAGTGTGGTGGCAGCAAATGATCTTTGCCTCCACTAAGGAGGTTATGTTTTCATCTGCATTTGTTTGTTAGTTGTTGGATCACAAAAAACTCAACTTCTGTGGAGGGCTGGTGTATGACCTGTTTATATACAGTCTATGTGTATGACCCAAGGAAGAACCCACAAAATTAAGAATTAAAGGTCCAGTGTGTAAGATTTACGTGAAAGGGGTTTTGGGCAGAAATTGAATATAAACTAATCCTAGTGATGTTTTCAAATGATATGAATGGTTGTTTTCTTTACCATAGAATGGGCCCGTTATATTTTAAAACTTCATATATACATGGAGGGGGGTGCTCTCTGAGGAGGCCGCCATTTTTTTTACTGTCATCCAAACTGGACAAACTAAAACCTTTTGAGTTGTCATGATAACTGAAGTTCACCACAGGTTCAAGTGGAGGGTGAGATGAGGGGTATTCAGCTGCAACATGCAACTTCACCTCTAGATGTCACTAAATTCTACACACTGAACCTTTAAGACATTAAGAAATTAGAAGCATGAATTGTCTTAGTGATGTGAGTAAAGT